AAGAGCCAAGCTCCAACCTGAAAATACTACATACCATATCTCTAGAAAAGATAACTTTGGCAAAATATAAAACCCCAGCAAAGCTGTATTGTCCCTGGGACAGTGCATTCTGTCTCAATAAGGGAAAACTGACGAGATTTCAAAGACCCTAGTTAAAAACAAATTAACTTCTTAAACCTAGTAGAGACCATGCCCTATCAGGATTTTCCAGGAAAGATTAAATTAGACTAGAATTAAAAAAACAAAACAGGAAGAGCTAACAATTAGTATTGAAGAGACACCTAGTAATCACAGAGACCAGACAGAAAAAGAAAGATCTCCTCAAGCTTAAATTCACTCAGAAAAGGTAATTCTAATGCTTAACCAAAGGCAAGCATCAAACCAAATTCAAATATCCCAAGTGATCTCTTTCTAATAGTTATCGACCATTGCATTCCTAAGATAAAGCCCCCAAATTCTTTTTGACATTTCCCCCATCAAGAAGAGGGGTATATCCCTTCCCTGGTATCTGAATTCTGTGGCTGGTTGAACAACAGAATGTGACAGAAGTGACACTCTCAATTTCTAGGCCCAGGCTTTAAGAACCTGGCAGCTTCCACTTCTTATCTCTTGGGATGCTCATTCTCGGAACCCAGCCACCATGCTGTGAGGAAGCCCAAGCAGCTGCTGAAGAGGCCTACATGGAGAGGCACCAAGAACCAGAATCAATTTGCCAGTCATCTGGGCGAGCCATCCTGGAAACGGATCTACCATCCCTCATCAAGCCACCCCAGCTAATACCACATAAGCAGAGATGACTGTCCTTGCCAAGCTCCACAAATCGTAGTTTCCTGAGAAAAATAAATGACTATTGCTATTTTAAGCCTCTAAATTTGGGGGTGGTTTGTTACACAGCAATAGATAACTGGAACATTAATTTTTTATGTTCTTTGAAAGAAAACATTATTTAAAAAAATAACTAGCCTATTACTTCTTGATTTACCACCTCATGTTACCTGTGAGAGGCAGGGTATCCCAGTGGTTAAGAGCACAGACCTTGGAGCTAGACTGCAGGATCTGAATACTGACAAGTCACTTAGTCTCTCTGTGCTTTTGTTTCTTCATCTGTAAAAGGTAGACAATAACCTCATAGGCTATTCGGAGTAAGGAAGACTGTTTGAAAGGAAGCTGTTTTAAAGAAAAGAGGTGGTAGAGAAGAGAAAGTAAAAATATGGTTAAAAAATAGTAAGATCAGGAAATCTTAGAAACAACTAAAAGGAAAGCACGAATGTTCAGATGAGAAATCAGGGAGAGGCCTGGTAGGAGGGGATAGCTAGCACGCCTGGGGCCAAATGAAACTGGACTCTAGAGACTGTTAATAGCCAGCCAAGAACAAGTTTCTTTAGCTCTAGCGCTCGACACATTCCAGAAACATCAGCAGGGATAGACTGGGCTGAGCAACAGGGTAGTGCCCACAGGAGTATAATCTCCCTTCTAACTACGAGGCCCTCAAACACCCTCACAAAACTGAATAAAGTTTACCTTTCCTCAGCTAGGCCCATGTGCCCCTCCCTCATGTACGAGGGTCCCCCCCACCACTCACGTCTTGACTTAATTGCTAATGCCTGAAATTCCTTTAAACAAGGAGAGAAAACATTTTCATTCCACATTCAAAGGAAAAATGACAAAAATGCAAAGGTCTGGCTAAGATGATACTGAGGTTAAGTAAGTGTGTTAATCACTCTGTCAAGTGGTCCTAGTCAGACATCTTTGGAGGAGGAAGGAGGAGCTAACGCTTTGTTGAGGCCTACGGTCTACAGACAGTAAGTAGATTTAAATCAATTCGTGTAATTTGTAATATCTTAATAAATATTTATGGAATGACTTAAGAAACAAACCTAAGTATGCCATCTATCAGACCTTTCCTGTGTTCATAGAGGAATTTAAAAGCAGGAGAGCATCAGGTCACCATCACTGGGGCATAAAAGTGAGAGAAGAGGGAAAGGAAAAGAACTAAGGCTATAGTAGCAGAAAAACTGCAGATTTCAGCACTAACTAGAATTACTTTTACTTTCTCATGAAGACAAATGATAAGCAATACAGATCAGTTATTAAGATCCCAGACTCTGGAGCCAGATTGTCTGGATTTAAATCCTAACTTTGCCATTTACTAGCTATGTGGCAGCGAGTAAGTGACTCTCTGTGCCTTAGCATCCTCATCCCTAAAATGGGTAACTATACCTATTTCATTGGATTATTGTGAGACTCAAATGAGTTAATACAAGTAAAGTGCTTAGAACAGTACCTAGCATATAATATTATAAATTAAATATAAATTAAATGTTAACTGTAGTTATTATTCCTATGATTATTATTTTTATTATGGTCTGAGATATCTGGCCTAAATCTATCAACTCAGAAAGCGCTTCCATTACAGAGAAGTACCATGTTCTCAAGAGATTCACTAATGAAAGTATTTCTGAAAACAAGGGACATAAGCAGAGAAGAGGTATGTTAGCAGAACTCTTGGGGAATAATTAAATAGACTTTTAGGTAGTAGGCTCCTTATTTCTCTCTTTGTTGGTATTTTTCTGGTTCCTAATTTGTTCGTTCTTCATAAGGTAAGGGGAGAGATGAGATATCAAAAATGAGAGAAAGCATAAACTAGTGCATTCTGATAACTGCTAACAGTTCAAATGACTTGGCGGTGAAGAACATAGCAACATCAGTTTAGCTAAAACTTTCAGATACTGTCCAGGCCTTATACGATAAGGGACTGAGAACAAGAGGTACTGACTTGGAGCAAGCATTCACAATAAAATCTCATGATCTCGAGACTTAAAAAACTTAGAAGAGTGTTTGCTACACGGAAGTGAGTATGGTGAACATCAGGGAAGCTCTACTTTTCTAAATCAAAACTGGGCTTTAGTTTCTAGGAAGAGCTATTTAGAAATATGACCACAGAGAGTACATCTCAGATAACATAAAAACAAGAAAAAAGAAATTTTTCTAATACAGGAAGAAATGGATAAAGAAACAGAAAATGAATTGGTGGTAGGAGAGGCTTGATTTCAGTTTTACTTTACAGAGAATTATGTATATTTATATAGTATATTTACATTGATAGGTTGCCTTCCATAGATATCTACTCTTGATTCACAAAGGAAAAAAATATTTTTTAATTCTAGGCCTCTGAATTTTTAAGATTGACTTTCGAGAAGTATTCTATTTATCTCTATTTACCAAGAAGAAGAGACCTAAACATCATGAGAACATACTCTGTATCAGGCATAAGCAAGGCATTTCATATACATTAACTCAGTTAATATTCATAATAACCCTATAAATACATATGAGGAAACTGAAGCAAAGAGAAATAGCGAAATCTCCCCAAAGTACCACTGTCTATAAATGATGAAATAACTTCAGGAAGATTTTGAATCCAAAGCTCATATCTGCTCTACGCACTTCACTATACTGCCTAAGCCATGACAGACAGATATTTTAATATCTACTTGCCTGAATGTTAATGTCTGCCCACAGAAATAGGTTGGAGCACTGGAGTAGAGAACACCTGAGGATTCAGAATCATTCCGGAGTGCTATATTTCTTCGACTGCTCAGACTGTACCCCTCAAAGCCAGCTGTCCACTCTTTTTAAAAAGCAAAGACATTGAAAATTATTAGATTCTTTTAAGGAATATCTTCAGCACACAGACATTAAATAAAACTTGGAAGGAGAAGAGACTACTCTTAGGGGTCATAGACAAGTTCAATAAAAGAAATGATTCCAGGAAAAGGCTTTTAGTCTATTCCTACACAATTTTGGCATGGAATATCAAATAAGTGTTATCACCTATCTAATAAAATCATGTTTGAGCTTATTCCAACCCGATTAAGAAGTAATTAACAAATGAGTCTAAATTTGTTAACTAGTAATACAGGAGAAATCAATTTCAAATCATACAACTTTTAAGAAAAAGCCTCTACCTAGTATATACTGAAGGTCTGGATCAAATATTGCAGTCTCCTGCTGCAATATTTAAAATCTGTGGCTGTAGGGGATGCTACTAATTCTGTCTGGCACTATTTTGGACTGAAGAACTGATGAAAATTTCTCAAAATTCACATGAAGTAATTTGAACAGGAAGTGAAAAACATGTTCCATGTTGTTCTCATTAATTTGGGGTTTATCCTTAGAAAAAAAGTGTTGTCAGTGTGCTGCCTTTAGCGCAGAATACAAGTGTTCTTATGCATAGTTAAGCTCCAGGAGTGAAAAGGCAACAGCATACCATGAGGCACCAATGTGGAATGACCTATCTGGGGGACGCTCCAAGGACTCCACTCCTGTCGGCCATCTCCTCGGGCGCAGACTCTGAACTGATAATCAACATTGGGGTCTATGTGCAATACTATGAATTCAGTTTCAGAGCCTACATATGCGTCCTCAAAATGATTTGAAGTACATTTACGGAACTGGAGCCTGTAATCTTGGGCTGTAAAGTCGTCATCCACCTAAGGAGAAAGGCTTTATGTTAGGTAAAAATCAGAGAATAACTTCTCTCAGCATTACTGATTAAGAATTTTGAATGGAGGAGTTTTGGACCAAGCATACACGCCCACGTGCTGAATATGGGCTATTCTCAGGTCATAGGAAATACACCATCATTATCTCCCTTCTTTGTTGAACCATGTGTTTTAGACTTCACAGTCTGATATGAAAAAATATGCTTCTTTTGAAGAAATGGTGCTTTCTACACAATAATGTCAAAGATAAAACATTTAAGGATAAGAATTCCACAACTATATCATTCATATAACCGAGAGTTAATAACCAGAATATATAAACTCCTAAAAATTAATAGAAGACAAACCATCCAAAAGAAAAATGGGCAAAGACATGAATAAGCATTCTATAGAAAAATAAGCAGCAAAAATGTTAAAATATTCAACCAAATTTGTAATATGGAAAGTACACTCTAAAACCACAATGAGATACCACATTGGCAAAAATATAAAGTCTGACAATGCCAAGTATTGTCAGGATACAGAGTAACAGGAACTCATAACTGCTAGTGGAAGGATAAACTGTTAAAATCACATTGGAAAGAGTTTAGTATTACCGAGTACAGATCTAATCCTCTTAGATCTCATAATTTTATGGCTAGGTATAAACTTTAGAAAAAATCTTACACATGTATATAAGGAAGCATGAATAATAATGCTCATAGCAGAAAAACTGGAAACTACAGGCCCACAGATAGGTAAGAAAATAAAAATGGAATAAGAGTACTTGTTTTGAACCAACAAAAGCATCTCTACTTCTTTCTTCTATACCAAGGGTTCATTGAAAAAATTCCATTTAAGAAAATAGTTTCCAAAAGACAAACAAAAAAAATCAAACAAACAAAAAAAGAAAATAGTTTCCAGAAGCTGAGCACTCTGCCTCTGAATGATGTATCTGTCAACAGCCAAGACACTATGACTCATATATGTGGACATAGTTTCTATCTAAAATATGATATTTCATCTACACAATTGATTTAATACACAAAATATTCAGCAATGCTGAAGAAACCATACTTTAGAAACTTTATTTCAGAGGTATTAGTTTAGTGTTGAACAGAAAAATATAAGATACCCAAATATTCACTATCATAATTTGACGTTTCTAATAAAACAGAAATGGGAGCAAATCTTCAACGCACTAAAAGTTAAGTTTGGGAAATATGTTCTGAAAACAATGTTGTGACATGGAGATTTAAAAAAATACCTTCAAAATTGTTTATCTCAAACTGGAAGAGCTACCTCAGTTCAAGCTCCTTGCGAGTTTATTTTAGTTGTAAAGGAAAAGGGATTTTTGTTTATAAAGAGAATATTTAAAGGTAGCTAATAAAAAAATTTTAAGGCCCCCGAAATCTCAAATCCATAATGTTGAAGTCATTTTTACAATTTTTAATTACGTACCTTACACCACCGTACAATGATGCCTCCAGGTTTCTCTATTAGTTCTTCTATCTGTACCGGTGGGCGAGATGCTACCGTTCCATGCTTAAAAATGTGGTCTTTCACTATATTAAGAACTGAGTCATCCAACTGAGCAGATAAACAAGGCACATCGACCAGTAAAGGCACTTCTGGTAAGCTGAAGAAACAAAACTCATGTATTTATGAGGCTTTTAAACTGAGAGTTAAAAATATAAAGAATATTTTAGACCAGTCATACACTATAAGGATGCAGAAACTCCCAGTAAATAATGCTCATGGCAGTTGGGGCTTTGCAAGATGTTACATAAAGATTCTCTTCTCAAATAAATATAAGCAAGAAGATAAAAAGTTGGTAGGATCACAGTTGTCAAGTTTATACCAAAACATCTGTTTTACCGAGATATGACCCAATTTCAATGTTATGTTCTGAATTTTTAAAATTTAACAATTCTCTTACACATTAGAATTGAAGAAAATCTGTAGTAATATTACACTAAAGATTACAATCACAACTATTTCATATTAGTAATATTGGTAATGAGCAGTGAAACCCTGAAAAATATATTCTCTATCGCCCTTAATTAGAAATTTTAATGAGAGGGAGAGAGTCGATAGTTTAAGTGCTTAAAAGTAAGCCCCAAAGGCACTAACTCTTTTACCTGTCCAACTGAATGTGTGAGGCCTTTTTGGTAAAGCTCCACAGTTTTTCATTCTGTTCTCCTACACCACCAAGAATGGCGATTTCACCTACAATCAGGAATGAGAACTAGTATAGTGAAAAATAATCACATTATAAGTAATCAACACATCTTGTGTCTAGGTAGGTCTCTGGTTTTCTTGCAAACAATTCTTAAGTGATGCTGCAGTCAAATTCCCAAAAAGTAAAAGTAGACACTATTGTAGAAATGATTCTAAGGCTCTCAGGTTAAGCTCAAGAGGAAAAGGGGTACACAATGGTGACATCTTACCAGGGATGTATATTCCACTCTACACAAGGAAATGTGGTATGTCAAATCAATTTTATGCAAAGCAGAAGGCCCAGGGACTTTTTCCATCTCTCCTACAGAAACTTTATCAATACTAATAGGAGCCAGTACAAATACTACCCTGACAGGAATAATAGGGCACAGGGCCTTATAAAACCAAATGATACCATCATGTTTTCACAAAACGCTATCACATTAGATTAGAAATTACTCAACAGAACAATAAAAAGAAAATGCTACATAAAGGCATTTTAAAAATGACCAACTTCTATGTCCTTCCACAGCCCTGAAAAACACCACCAAAACTCTTTTCTATCTCAATGTGCCTTGGAATTACTCAAGTTTTTTGAGGCCACATAACATGACCTTCTTCCTCAACCAAAAAGAACACAGAGATACACTGAGCACTGCCTCAAAATCCTCAAAATTCCATAAATAAGTTTTTATCCCTGGGGAGCAGAAGGGAGGAAAGAGTTTAAAATCAAAAATACTTCTGAAGTATAAAAAAACTGAAGCATCAGATGCTGTAACAAACATGTATGTGCCTCAAAAGATTTATTTTCTAAACTAAAAACATTTCTCAGTCCTCGGGGTGATGGGTGTATACTCCTGATCTGTGCTGAACTGCTTCTGGTTTTGTTTCCAAAGCAGAGCCTCCAGGGAAAGACATTCTGTGGTCCTACTAAAAAAAAATTTTCTCAAAGGCACTGTTACAGTCAGTGGCAAATAAGCACTTCTCACTAAAGATAAGACAAAAATGTAACTGGCATGTAAAGATAACACTAGTACCATATTCTAAGTGGGACCAGAAAGGGGATTAATTTCCAGTTGGAATGACAGAGTTGTGAGCCAGGTACATTTTTTATCCTAAGTCACTCACAGCACTCAATCTGCAGAATGAATAGTATTCAATCTCTTTCGCTGGCTCTTTTCTCCCCAACTGCCCTTTAAATATTGGCATCCCTTACCGTTCTAACCTCTGCTGCCTTCTCTTCTCATACTGTAGACTATCTCCTGATGATTTTACTTATTCCCAGAGATTCAGATCTGATGTATGCACCATTAACTGCCATATTGACATCTCTAGGTATTATCTCTCTCCTAAGCATCATACTCACATTCCCAATTACTTCTTGGCATCTTAAGCACTTCAGACTCAACATGCCCCAAAAGAATGCATTTAAGTACCCACCAAAGTCCACCCTTTCTCATTTGTTTCCTATGTCAGTAAACAGTAGAGTTTACCCAGTCATCCAAAATCGGGCTGGTTTTGGTCATCCTAAATCCTTCCCTTTCTCCTCCAACCCATATATAGGCAACCAATAATTAACATATACTGCTAAGTAAAATCATCAATAATTCTATCTCTGAAAAATTTTAAAACCAGCTCTGCCTCATCTTCACCTGTCATTGCCCTCATTATTTCCTATCTGATTATTGCTGCAACTTTCTAGTCAGTCTATTTTACCTCCAGTCTCACAACCTCAAATCCAGTCCCAAACTATAGGCAATGTGTCATATCAACAATGCAAATCTGACTGTGTAACTCTGCTGCCTAAACCATTTCAGAAGATCCCTGATATTACTCCTGCTTCCAATCATGCCGTTACCTCCTTTTCTTCCTTTGTCTGCTTGACGAATTTCTTCAAGCCTCTGTGGAACTCTTACAGAAAGCTAGCCTACACTTTTTCAGAGTTAAGCACTTCTCCTTCTGTGCTCCCATAAGGTCTTAGATCTCTCTCAGTATGTATGCCTCTCTCACATGTGAACCCCAAAGGGCAGAATTTTTATTCAATGTACCTAACAAAGACTTATGGGAAAGAAGGGAGAGATGGAAGGAGGCAAGGAGGCAAGAAGGAAAACAGGTAGGCAAGAAGGTAGCAAGGCAAGATCTGGGCATGCTTCAACCAAAATAAATGGATAAAGAAAGAAATATAATAAGTACGATTTCAAGAGTAAATACTAAACATATTTCTTAACCTACTAAAAAGAACAATGAAATTAAATTCTATAAACCATAAATACTCTGAAAATGTTTGATGCCTTAAAATGACCTTAATATCGCTCTGTTAACAGTGAGCGAGATACCATCAGAATCATTTGAGAAAAATCATATACTTCTTGTTTTGTAAATGATTATAATTACTACTTTAATTGAACTTACTCTGGGATACCTCACTGCGTATCTGTCATCCTATATTACAAACTGTCCCAAGGTAGGAACATCCTAAGCACCCTACAGATGGCAATAAACCTGCTGATATCTTGAGAAATCAGCAGTATCAATCTGAATTTGCCACATTTAATAGGCTCTCTGGATTCCTACCTTCTTGGACTAAGTCCTCTGCAGTGTTAACTCCATGCTCTATAAGCTTCTGGCAGTCATCTAGTGGCTTAATGGTCTCTTGTTCAATGGTGTCCACCTCTTGCAAAAGGGTCACCAATCGCTCATCCAGGAGCTTCCCAAGGGTTCCCTTTAAATCATTAAAATGTTGTTTGAGGACATCTCTTGTCTGTGATGCACTCTCTTTGATCTGAAAAGAAATAACATAAAAACTCAGAATCAGAATAGCTACAAAAGGATAATCTACAAGCTTCATCTATAATATTTTTGAAGTACTACCCAAGCATCATCATCTATCTGTTGATAAACCAAATGTGATTCATTTGCACAAACTTGCAGACTTGCATAGGATTAACCTTCAGATGAGGCAGAATGGGCTCAAACCATTCAGAATGGTTCCTTCATTCACAAACTATGTCAATATGGTCAAATTAATTAAGCACTCAATGCTTCAAGGTCCTTATTCCTCAAATGAGTATAATAATGCTTACCTCACGGAACTGCTGTAAGGATTAAATAAAAAAATCTATATTGCACTTAGTAAAACAACTGGCAAACCATTGTTCTCAATAAATAAATGTTAGAAAGTATTGCCTGCACAAAATTGTTCTTGGCAATAATACGTTTCAGTACAAAAGAATTTTAAATTAGGAGGGGATTAAAATTCACTTTGCTGAAAAGAAGCAAAGAAATGGTAGATTAGAAAGCCACAATGTACAAAGAAAAATCAACTCATGGATAACATGCCCTCATTATGCCAAAAGAAAACTAAGAATTTATTTAAAATCCAAAGAGGCTCATAGGAGACAGGAAATGTTCATGAAAAACACACTTCTGGGACAATGAGTTAATCTTTTTTTGAGTCATGGTCCTCTTTGCAAATCTTACTGAGAAGTTTATAGACCCTCTCCCCAGAAAAATAAATAATCCATACCCAAAAGAAATGTATTCAATTTCGGAGGTGACAAATTCCCTTAGATTCCAACAATCCAACAATTACTGCTTGCCTGTAGCAGTAATTCTGAAACTTGGTTTGCAGAAGAATCACATAAGGCTGCCTGTTATAA